TGATTTTTGATTTGGTTTGCGAGATTCTTTTCTTTTTTTTTTTTCTTCTTTTTCTAAAATTAAAAAGCAAGGTGCTTTGTAAATCTTTTATCTACCAGCGCTAACGATCTACGCCGGATGTGCGTTTTGTCTCTTTCATGGAGATTTGAAATTTTCTAACGCGATTATCTCTCTGAAATTATTCGTGGACGTGTTTATTGAAGACATTGGCACGTTCGCGCGTAGGCGATGTATACGCAAACACGTTTCTGCATTACTATTTACTTTATTTATTTGTTTAATAACAGTGTTTCACGCCGTGCAAAACATTGAATTCCATGAATTTGTTTGTCTTGATAAATATATATATATATAATTCTTCGTGCTTGCTGTAAATTGTTGATTAACCTATATTTGATAGTTCATCGAGAGACATATAAGCAGATTATTTCGTATTTATTTAGAACAGTTTTGCACTTATCTCTCTCAAATATCATCACTCTTAATGTGCCAGTATCCATAAATAAATACCAATTACTAATCTGTTTGACAAGACGTGGTCGTGCTTGAAAAATAAAACAGATATACCGCGTTTATGATGTTCAATTCGCACAATAAAGTATTTTACATTTTGCACACATGTGACGAAAGTGTTGTCTTGGCTGTCACGATTATTATTAAGCTTGCCTTCTTTTTCTCACATGTTGGTGAATAAATGAGTCTGGACTCGAAAAAAAATAAATAAATTAATTTGATCTCAATGAATGGTGTTCGTAGTCAAACAAATTATTTTTCTTTTTCTCCAAGTTCACATCTAAAGAAATAAACTATGGCGATGTTATCCACGCAAATTATTTTCAAATAACCTCGCGATAGTTTGCTTTACGTTATCTCGCGAACAAGTGAGTTCAGATTCGAAAGAAAATAAGTCAATTTGCATTAATTTGTAAAATGTGTAATTAATTTGATCTTAATGAATAGTGTTCGTAATGAAGGAAATTATTTTTCTTTTTCTCCAAGTTCACATCTAAAGAAATAAACTATGGCGATGTTATCCGCGCAAATTATTTTCAAATGGCCTCGCGATAGTTTTGCTTTACGTTATCTCGCGAACAAATGAACTCAGATTCGAAAGAAAATAAGTCAATTTGCACTAATTTGTAAAATGTGTAATTAATTTGATCTTAATGAATAGTGTTCGTAATGAAGCAAATTATTTTTCTCTTTCTCCAAGTTCACATCTAAAGAAATAAACTATGGCGATGTTATCCACGCAAATTATTTTCAAATAACCTCGCGATAGTTTGCTTTACGTTATCTCGCGAACAAGTGAGTTCAGATTCGAAAGAAAATAAGTCAATTTGCATTAATTTGTAAAATGTGTAATTAATTTGATCTTAATGAATAGTGTTCGTAATGAAGGAAATTATTTTTCTTTTTCTCCAAGTTCACATCTAAAGAAATAAACTATGGCGATGTTATCCGCGCAAATTATTTTCAAATAACCTCGCGATAGTTTGCTTTACGTTATCTCGCGAACAAGTGAGTTCAGATTCGAAAGAAAATAAGTCAATTTGCATTAATTTGTAAAATGTGTAATTAATTTGATCTTAATGAATAGTGTTCGTAATGAAGGAAATTATTTTTCTTTTTCTCCAAGTTCACATCTAAAGAAATAAACTATGGCGATGTTATCCGCGCAAATTATTTTCAAATGGCCTCGCGATAGTTTTGCTTTACGTTATCTCGCGAATAAGTGAGTTCAGATTCGAAAAAAAATAAGTCAATTTGCACTAATTTGTAAAATGCGTAATAGTGTTCGTAATCAAGGAAAATTATTTCTCTCTTTCTCCTCTATGTTCGCATCTAAAAGAAATAAATAAATAATGTAACAAATTAGACGATGCTATCCGCGCAAATTATTTTCAAATGGCCTCGCGATAGTTTTGCTTTACGTTATCTCGCGAACAAATGAGCTCAGATTCGAAAGAAAATAAGTCAATTTGCACTAATTTGTAAAATGTGTAATTAATTTGATCTTAATGAATAGTGTTTGTAATGATGCAAATTATTTCCCTCTTTCTCCTAAGTTCGCATCTAAAAGAAATAAATAAATAATGTAACAAACTAGACGATGTTATCCGCGCAAATTGTTTTCAAATAGCGTTTTTCGTTTCGCCTTATCTCGGGAATGAATTGAAAACAAGAATCTCGAGCCCTGTTAATCAGTACACGTTTGATGCGTGCAGTAACGACAAAAGGCAGCGTGTCTTATCGTTGCTATTTCCACGTAACCGAAGTCCACTTGTTTCCACAAGCAGGAGATTATGCGCGTGCGGAATGTAAGCAGCGATCGGATCGCTCGTAAACACGAAGGAATAGCAGAACGTGATATGCAAATCGTAGACGACGGCGTGGGTGTAGTTTGAGCAACCGGCAAAAAGCGTCAAGCTTCGTGATCGAGCGTGCTCGATCCGTTCGTTAGATCACCGTTTAAACTCGGAAGAAACTGCCGATTCTTACAAAATTGGTATTCACCACCGATATTCGTCGCCGAGAAACCTGTATCGTGTATCCAAAAACTTGTTCTCCATGTAGAGTTGAGAACAAAACCGAGTGTCGAGTTAATATCCTGTGAATACTTTAGACTGTGGAAGATTTTTAACTCTGATTTAACAAAGATTCTGGCAGCCAAAAAATATAACGCAACGATAATATAAGAATATAAAAGGGAGAAAATTCTATTAAGTATCAGTTATAGAAATTTTCTAAAAATTGACTCCAATTATTGAAAATACTATCTTCTTTAATTATAATGACAAGAAGTGAGAATTTAATTTTAATTGATAACATGTATGGATAATATAAGGGTTCATGCTCTGCACGATGATTGCGAATGATTTATTGAAAAAAGAAAGAAAATTCTATTAACTATCAGTTATAGAAATTTTCTAGAAATTGACTCCAATTATTGAAAATATCACCTTCTTTAATTATAATGACAAAAAGTGAGAATTTAATTTTAATTGGTGACATGTATGTTTTCTATTTCTTAACAAATTCCATCTGTTTTACATGTAGAGGTGAATAAAAGTAGTTGATGAAAAAAATACTGATTTAAATTCTGTTTAAACTCTGTGACAAAAAATGTGTACATTAATTCAGTTACTTTAAATGAAACCACTAGTTTACCAACATTCTCGAGTCCTATTTGTCCAAAGATGTTTCTACAACACGCAACAGGTGGAAAAAGCTAGGGTACTTTTTCATCATCGAAAATTGTAAAAGTGTGACTAAATTTGTTATACATATTGCTGTGTAAGATTTGTCAAATTTGTTACACGATTTTCCGCCATTTTTTATCGAATCTTGGACATCAAAGTTAAACTTTAAAAATTCAAGAAATTCAACGTTTTGCCATTTAACCCTAATGTTCAAAGTTCGTTTCATAAAATTCAAGATCACGGTAGATTCAGTCATGGAAAAAATTTTTTAAGTTTCCAGAGATATTTGAATTCTTACAATTTTCGAGAACAAAAATATATCCTTGCTGCATTATTAAAATATATCGTTGAAAAAAAACTTAACGTAGGCTTGTCAAAGTGAAGGCCTTGTTCTAAAATAATACCAACTGGATTGTTATGTAACTGTCATGATAATTTTTCATCGAGTGTCCGAATATTTTCGTCCACATACGTATAGTATATACATACTTCAGATTTTGCTACATTTCATACCTCGTCCCATGCAAGAATCGAATGCAAGTTTAAAAAATTTATAACTTCGAGCACGTAACCTAAGCCCTAGGTTATTGACTCCTCTTTTCTGACACGTGAAACGTGCGTATACGGCACGCATGAAATAATTATTCTCAATAACCTATGCATTGTCGCAATTTATGCGTTCAAAGACGCATTAATGAATGCATCATCGGGCCTTGGATCGCTCGTAAGTAAACGTTGAATAACCAGACAAATCGATCGATCGTACATCCTGTATGTCCCCCTTTCGGTTTCTGTATGAGTTAACATTTTTTTTAATTGTTAATTCTGTTAACATTTGTTTTAACTCCGTGCGACATTTATGGCGTGTCACGTCGTGTTACAATGAATTTTAATATGGCCCCACGCTTCTTCGCGTTATTGTCCTTCGGATGACGGATGGAAAGTCACCTACGCGGTTTCCAGATTGAATTTCTGTCTCGTAGCGCCGGATCAATCGCAATTAGCACCTCTGTACCGCGACGTCGTAACAAAACGATCGATCGGCGGATGGAGTTTTCATTCATGGATTTTAGCTCTCGACACGACGGATGATAAAATTAATTGAACCTTCCGAGAAGACTCGGAACGATCGTTATATATATAATACTCGCAACATCGTCGTGTTCCCTCTAATTTTTAATTTATCAAGTTGGCCGGTGTGACTCAATTGATCAAACGAACCATACGTCGAAATCTTCGTTTCAAAAAAAAAAAAAAAAAAAAAAANCAAAAAAAAAAAAAAAAAAGAAAAAGAAAAAGAAAGAAACTCAATGTCTCTTCGAACAGATAAAACAAATACCACCCTCTCATCAGTGTGAAACTACAATCTGAAATCCTCCGTTTCAATAAACAGGCAATAATTTTCGATAGATACAGAAGTGTATTCTCGTTTGTGGCATAAAAACAAACATGGCGCTTGCAAATCGTTCAAAGAACGCTGTTCCCACTGCGCGGCGGTCGCTGAAAGCCATCAGGCATTGAAAAGGGGAACCATGAAAGGGAAGCAATCGCGAATATCATCTATCACTCACTGTCGATCGAACGACCAATCGATAGAGGCGACTGCACGGCGAAATTCGGTTACCGGTTGCTCGATACCGGTTCGTTTCTTTTCTTTCTCTCGTTTTCTTTCTTTCTTTCTTTCTTTCTTTCCGCGGCAATGTCAGTTCGGGATGGCCGCTCCGCGCCGCAGTGAAACCAGCAAGCTCGCCGACCGGTTTCCGTCGCGCGCGCAGCCGCGAAAATCGACTCACCGACCTGTCAATCGTCCGCGTCCTCGACTTGCGTCCCCCTCGTCATCCTGGGTAGGCGATCGATCGATCGGCGCGATCGTTGCTGCGCGCCGGTAGCGGGAAAACGTCGAGGTGTACACGATCGGGACAAATCCACGCGCTGGTCCCCGTACAGACTCGAAGAGGTGACTGGGAGATTCTGAGGACCGACGGTTCTGGTTCACAACTGGTTCTTCTCCTTCTCCTTCGGCCTCTGGCCCCTTCCATGCTCGCTGCAACAGCAAGGAAAGAGAGACACACGTTGTTGTATCGTAAACGTTAGACCGAGCGTGAGATAGAAATAGAGTGACTTCGAAATAGAAAAAGAGAGAAGAAAGAGAGAAAGAGAGAGAGAGAGAGAAGCAGAAAGAGACAGAGTGAAAAGAAGAGAGACATAGAGAGAGAGAGAGAGAGAGAGAAAGAGGGACCGCCAGATGCTGGAGAGATCCAGCAGAGAGGCCGCAGGCAAACGGCAGGTTGCACGTTTCGAAGGGAATCTTCGGTGGGACGGGATGAAATCTGGCTTGGTAGGCCCCACCGGGTGAAAAAAAGTCAATCAGGTAAGGGTCAGGGACGTATTCGCAACGTTCGCCTCCGGTCGCCAGATGTTTGATTATTCGTTGCCGTTGTATGCATGATAAACCAGTTTTTTGCGTTCACGTGCTGCCGTAACATGGGCAAAAAAGAGGATGCGCTGGACGTTGATTTAACTATGGACTACCGTTAATATCTAAACCTTTTGCGCTGGAGTGACGTGGATGACGTTGAGTCATCTTCCAGCTGCAGTGTTAAGAGATGTCAGTGATAGGAGATCAGTTGATTTTAAAAAACTGAGGAATTAAATGCTACAAAGAAATAAGCAAGAAACAGATTTTCCAATTTCAATTTCACCTTACTGAAAGAACCGAAGACGAAGTATTTCATCTTTCGAGAAAAAAAAAAACAAAATAGAAGCTTCGTCCCTTAACCTCTTGCGCTGGATGACGTTGAATCATCTTCCAGCTGCAGTATTAG